ATGCGGTTCCTATATCAACCGCGCGCGAACGCTGAGCGTCCGTAACGGATCCGTTCGCATTTTACCTGTGCGGGAACATGATGAAATAGTTTTTAACGAACTTTTAAACAAGTAATGTCTCATTAAAATACAATTCTGAGTATGGTATGGATGTTCAAAAGATTGACGTTTTTGCCCTATTTTGAAGAAAGTTATAGTCGAATAACCAAGTTCATATCTTTTGTCCGGTACTGTACCTATGTTTTGGAACAAATCCCATATTTTCAGCGATAAGTTTTTTTTAATGAATTCAATTAATTTTCAGGCATACCTAAACGCTCCGAATTTCCAAAAGGCATTTATTCGATACGAAAATTCGAGAAGACTTACGGACATGGATGTCCTGGCTGGTAATGTGCGGCCAACTAGGGATAGTCAACATTGGTTCCGAACACCATACTCTCCAAATCGGTGTCTCTTTGTTTTCGTCAGTGAAAGAGTTGCCAGATTCGTGAATGCTCCAATAAGCTCGGCTCCAGAAGGCGCGTTCGATACAAATCAAGAGTTCCCCGAACCTCCACTTCCACACTGGCGGCCTTTCTGAACTATTTGGGTTTTTTTAGTACGAGAAGTTTCAAATAAATTTGGGATGTATTCTAGTTCCCCATTACTTTAGTACTGAATACATATTTTGAAATCTTCTTTATTTTAAATATGCAAATTATTGCTACTCGGCTATAAGCAAGGCTGTGGAAAAACGTTTTGGACATCACTGCTGCTCAGCTAGAGTTAAACGTCATTGTTTTTCTCACAATCTCCACATTCCTTTTATTAGAAAACATGTATGACAATTGAATTACCAGAGGTGTGGTAATCAAATCCAAAGCCGACAGCCATATGTAGTACAATAGACGAAAATTTGAAAATTTGGAAAAAAACTGAAAAAAACCCACAGCATGCCATTTCCAATCACTTAACCATCCTGATATAATAAATAGAAGATGTACCTGAAAAACTAAATTCGTTTTTTCTATACTTTTTCAGATTCTACCGTTTTGGACATGACTGCAAATTGTGTCTGATAAGTGATATATTTATGTGGTTGATTTTGAATTGTAGATGCTAAATGCTCCATTCCTTTGATACTAATGACCATTGGAAAATATAAGAAAGCACAGAAAAAGAAAAATATATTGGTTGTTTTGTAATAAATCTTTCAAAAAATAATTTTAGGTTCAATCTATATAAATTCTTACCGGATAAACATCAGAAAATAGTTTAACTTCATCTAATCTCAAAACGACAAATGTAACAACAGCAATGAACAATGAAAAATGTGACAAGAAAAATAACCAATACAGCGATTTCAAACAACTGCTCATTGTCGATACTTTCAAGTTTAGAAACGTTTCAGAACTTGGAAAAAAGTAGAGAAAAAATCTCTGAATTGCCAGTAAGGAGACAATAAATTGATGAGTGTTCACAATGACAACAAGAGCCTCGCCAAATGAGACTAAAATCAAAAAATGAGCTGTAAAATGAGTGTTGGGGTTTCTGAAGAATTTTTTAAATTAAAGGAGGCGAGACAGCAAAAATTTCGGGGGCAGTTCGGGGGACGAAATCGCACCGCGCTTATGTAAACCATCGGTCGTCAGGCGCCTTCGCGCCCCCGTAGCTCAGCCGGTAGCGGCGCTGTACCCCTGAGCTGCCTGTCATGAGTTCAACCCCTCATGGGGGTTCTCTATGCAAAATATCAGGAAAACTTTTTTTTGTGTCTGGCCTCCTTTAATAAATAATTTTAAGCAATTTGTTTCATATGTGACCTCGACACGATTATCAGACCCTCCCCTTGAAATGTATTTCAATTCTAGTCCGTCTTCATCAGAAGTACTAGTCTACCTAGTGTTTGATCTGGGTGGACTCAGTTGACCAAATATTTTTCGAAATCGGTTTTGTGAAATTCAAAATGCACATTTAAACGTTTTACAACCATCTCTTATCATCTTGAAAACAATAAAAATTGTGAAAATTACGCTTCACTGTCAAGTAGTGCCTCATTTTTTGATAACAATTCATTCTTCAAACCAATACTCCTTCTTGTATTTCCCTTCTAATATTCCTCTAATATTCACACATATTCCTCCTACTTTTTCCTGATATTCCTCTAATATTCACACATATCAGAAGCAAAAACCCATGCCATCCGAGATTATAGAAAAAAAACTATATAAAACATTTTCAGGATATTTTTGGTGTCTGGCCTCCTTTAACATATTTTTAGCGGCCACAGTCAACCACTCCCATGGCTTGACCAGCCGCCAAGCAAATTTTAAAACGATTTTCTATGGAATATTTTTAAACTTCGCGAAAATTCTGAACTTTAACAAATTTCCCCCGATCTCGCACGGCCGGCCGGCCGGCCTTCATTTTCCATAGCCTTGGTTACCCTGAAAAAAGCTCCGGAAAGTTGTATAAGTCATAGACAAATAAACTGATAAAAATGAAAAACAGAACGTAGTAAACACAAATTGCATTGTAAAAATGATTAGTGATAGGAAATACTGCGCACTGAAAACTTTGATTTCTGATTTTAGCTAGAAATAAATCAAGTTCACCTCCCGATCCCTTATTTTGTTTGATCTATGGACTAGAATAAATAGTAGAAATAAAAAGATATCTAAAATCACAATAAACGCCATGATAAAAAATGCGATCCTCAAAATGAATTCATGTAAGGATATCAACATTTTTGTTCATAGTTTTGTTTAGGTTGTCAGATAGAATGATTTCTTTGAAATTGCACGTTTTGAGAAAATGGGATTATTATACATCTGCTCTTAAATTGAATTTTATGTGGTTTGTTACGTCCTTAGGATCCGGCATTCTGGCCGGCGCAAGGAATACGAGTAGTAGTTATAGAATACAGATTTATTCAGGTACTAAAGATGTACAAGAATAGAGGGGGAAAAGTAGAGAAGGCCCAGCTAGAACAGACCGAGAATGGTTGTCAGCCCCAAAGAAAGAGGGGTTCTGACCAATGAAACAACTAAGAAGAGTGCCAGAGAAGGGCGCTCTTCTTAGGTGGGTAGATCACAAATAATTTGGTAGATCAAATATAAAACTAATGGAAGTATGCATAGAATGCAACATGGTTAAAGGAAATATGGCTTAATTATTGAATTTTTCTGAATTTGTGTCTGTGTTGAAAATAAAGTTAACTCTATTGGACGAACCTTTCTTGAATATTCAAAAATCATAAAATTGCTAACCCTCCCAGATCGGCTTGCAAAAAACTCTTTATTGGAAACGAACTAGTTTAATTGTATCATCAACATGTTTGAATTCTAAAAACGGTGTTTGAGCTAATGGAAGCTATATCAAAAAGGTTTTAAAAAAGTAGTTCCCAGTGTTCAGTAGTCAGGTAGCGGTAGGAAATCTTGATAGCTGAAAAAATAGGGTTTTTTGAAACATAAAAGTTCACGACTCACTTTCTGTTGTAAAGTCTGACCTCGATGACCTGAGGTTCATTGCCGGCGTATTTATAATCAATAGTCCATTTGTATTCGTTGGTACCGTTCAATTCAGTCCAGCCACTGTATCCAGTTCCCATCAATACACTCTGAAATTGTATTGACAGATTACTTAAGAAATCCTTCTTGCCAACAATCGTATCGATGTTAGGATCTGGTCCTGTTAACACAGAAGTACCGTCCGTGCTGGCGAATGTATAGTTCAAGGTAATAAAATCAGAATCGAGCACTGGAAGTTAAAGTTTGAGAAAACTATTGGTTTTATGTAATCGCACCGTGACTTTGAATAGTGATCATCCAAGTAATAAAATTTTGCCACTCTCCCGGATATGGTTCAGGAAATTTGAACAGCGGTAATTCAATTCTGCCGGATCCGGAAACAACAAAATTTTGAGCGACTATTTGGTAAGTCTCATCAAATACTTCTGTCGAATATGTCGCCACCTTACAATATAACAATTTTGAATGGATTATTGTCGAAATCATAAAACTGTCAGCTGCGTGTTTGCAGACCCAGTGCAAAACTCCCTAATTTTTGTACTGAGTCTGCAAACACGGACTGACAGTTTTTTATACTGACAATAATATAGGTAAAAGACTTACATCTCCTGTAAATCTACTGAAAACACAATAACCATTGGTATACATAGATAAATCGAACAAAGCTCTCGGATTGTTTCCTCCGGAAGGTGTATCATTGACAGAGAAGTAAACGAAAACATGGTTGTTCCGTAATTGAGTGATAAGATCGTGAACATCGTTTTCGTTTGGATATCTTTTCACCATAATGAACAAAGTTGATCCACAGATGGGGGCTTGGTCATTATCAAGGAACCTCTGAAAACTATGAATTTGGAACACCGTAAAACATGTATCCGAAAATTTCCTAGAGGAAATTGAAAAAATAGATGTGCCCGTTTCTTAATTGGGTCGTTTGAAATTTCAAATGTCCGTACATTTTCAGTGCAGCATATTACGAATATTCCACAACTCCCAATAGATTGGTGTTAAAAAACGATTTCTGCTTGAAAACTTGCTCAATTTTGGTGGAATAAATAGAATAGAGTTTCAATTAATATTGAACAAGAATTCGCTGAGTTTTTGGTTAAAATTTTCAAAAAAAAATAGCTGGAAAAAGGGACCCTTTCTAATTGAAGGACGCCTATCATAGAAGGACCATCCAGAGGTACCTCGGAACAATAAACCGGTCAGCCCTTCTAATACAGGTTAGATGTTTACTTTTCCAACACATACTTGAATGATATTCAAAACATTGCTTCCTCTCGAATTGCCATATCCTAGTTTAGGGTTTGGTAGATGATTATAAACGGATTGATTCATACTTCTATAAATTGATTTGAGAAAGACATAGCTTACAATTACGGGGTTATTCAGGAAACCTGCAAAAAACCACAAAAGTTAGTCTGGAGTTTCAGCCGAACTTTCAATGTGTATATTTTGATCCCAAATTTGTGGTGTTGGTGCATTTGTTATAGTTTTTCATCTCTGTCAAAATAAGTATCCATGAACGCAATGTCAGAGCTATCAAAATCATTTGAATAGGCAAAAAGGAATGTAGTAAGAGTCTTCCGAGTACAAGCTTCATCTGAAGAAAAAACTCTTGTTGCGACTCTTGTTGTTAATAGTTTTTATTTTTAATTTTTTAATTTTTAATTTTTATCCTGAAAATGTTTTATATAGTTTTTTTTCTATAATCTCGGATGGCATGGGTTTTTGCTTCTGATATGTGTGAATATTAGAGGAATATCAGGAAAAAGTAGGAGGAATATGTGTGAATATTAGAGGAATATTAGAAGGGAAATACAAGAAGGAGTATTGGTTTGAAGAATGAATTGTTATCAAAAAATGAGGCACTACCTGACAGTGAAGCGTAATTTTCACAATTTTTATTGTTTTCAAGATGATAAGAGATGGTTGTAAAACGTTTAAATGTGCATTTTGAATTTCACAAAACCGATTTCGAAAAATATTTGGTCAACTGAGTCCACCCAGATCAAACACTAGGTAGACTAGTACTTCTGATGAAGACGGACTAGAATTGAAATACATTTCAAGGGGAGGGTCTGATAATCGTGTCGAGGTCACATATGAAACAAATTGCTTAAAATTATTTATTAAAGGAGGCCAGACACAAAAAAAAAGTTTTCCTGATATTTTGCATAGAGAACCCCCATGAGGGGTTGAACTCATGACAGGCAGCTCACGGTACAACGCCGCTACCGGCTAAGCTACGGGTGCGCGAAGTCGCCTGACGACCGATGGTCTACATGACCGCGGCGCGATTTCGTCCCCCGAAATTTTTGCTGTCTCGCCTCCTTTAAAGGTGGGGGGACAGGAGATTTTTTGTAGTTTTTTTGTATCTAATAAAATTTTGTAAAACGGTGCCAATGTTTTCTGTGTCAAAAATTTTTATTCCTCATAAAAGCTGTACGTTTCTCGTGAAACATCCTTTCAACGTTTTAACGCAATTCTTTGCTCTTATCAAAGCAAAACCCATTGATGGAGTAAAATTACAACGGAGCAAAAAGAAAAGAAATTTTTATCAGTCAAATTTAAAGGTGGGGGGACAGGAAATTTTTCGTAGTTTTTTTGTAGCTAGAGTATGCATTCTACCGTCACTGTGTACAACGCTTAATGTCACTCTGCGTACAGCTGTCGTCCTCGCCTTTATGTATGCAATCGGGCGTGCGCTTTCTCTTTGCCCGCGTGGCTTAGTCGGCTTACAAGTTCAACTCCTCGAGGGGCATCTTTGAACGGAATTTCGAGAACATTATTTTTTTCATGTCCCCCCACCTTTAAAAAATGAAACACAAAAGCCGGATTCAGCAGAATGGAAGGAAGTCGTGATAGCTGAAAACTGAATTACTTGAAGAATGTTCAAAAATTGTCGACTTACTAATATATAATAGTATATTCTGGCTAGAATGAACTGCGGCTCATTGCCTGCGTAATGATAATCGATTGTCCATGTATAGGAAGTTGATCCGTTAAGCTGTGGAAAAGCAATGATGCCTGTTCCCTCCTGGTTGTACTACAAATGATTATTTGCATTAATATAAAAAACATCACAAAACACACCCCCGAATCAACACCTGGTCCTGTAAGCTGCCAACTTCCGTCAAAACTCTGAATAGTGTAATTAACAGATATGAAGCTGCCGTCTAGAGCTGAAATCAATAGTTTGTCCTAGTTTAAAGATGTTCAACACACTATGGTTTTGACAGTAGCCATCAACATCTGGACGGCAAAATCGTACGGAGAAGGAGCTTCGAACGCAGGAATTTGAATTCTCCCAGATCCAGATACCGCATAGTTATGCGAAATGAACTGATTTGGATCAGTGTTGGGGTATCCTACTTCCAACGCTGCCTCAAATTAAAATTATTAATTTCAAAGCACACTTTTTTAGATCAACGAAAAAGCCAGAAGTTTGGTCCATGATCGAAAATACATTATCAGTTTGTTTTTGAAGACATATCGAACAGTGTGCGAGGATTGTTGTCACCAGAAGGAAAGTCATGAACAGCAATGTATGCGAATATATTATTCGCACGGAGTTGGGTTATAATGTCAGACACGCCGTGTTCGTTCGGGTATCTTTTTATTATGATGTACATCATTGTTCCGCACAACGGGGCTTATGTGTTTTTGAGGAACTGAAGTTCATTGTATTCATTTTTCATAGACGTTAAAAATTAACCTGAATCCTTCTATAGACATTACTTCCAGTAGCATTGTTTTGAGATCCAAAAGATGCATCCGGCCTACAAGCGGATATAAATCCGTTGAAACTACTGTAATTATTCATTGACATTCTATCCCTAAATCGTCTAAACTCACTAAATGTCAGAGTGATACTGTATCTCTTCCTCTTCTTTCACATCCAATCTTACGTTTGCAAACATGGAATATCCAAAGAAAAGTTGTGGTGAGTTCCAAAATACTAGATGTGATCGAACATTATCAAAAGTGAATTGGTCAATATCTATCGAATAAGCAAAAAAGATTGTGCTATTTGTTCTGCGGGTACATCCACCATCTGAAAAATCAATTCTAGGTGGTTCACTTGTTATTCAATTTTTTTAAAAATTATTTTTTCCTTGACTAATGAGTTTTTCGTTGGATTTTTGGTTTCGGAATATAGACGAGAATAATATAAACATAGGAAGAATTGGAAAAACTGTGATAATTGTTTACCTCACTTTTGGGGTCTTATCAATGCTTTTGACTACGTCAGTACTTTTAGAACTTTGAAAATTTTCAACGCTAAAAACCACACTACATAAACTGATTTTTTATCTAATTACCGGAAACGTGTATTTTTTAGAGTTCCAATTTCACATTAATTTCCGTTATTTGATAGTCTAACATATCCTATTCGAAATAGGAAGAGTGCTCATAGTGACTCTGAACTTGTGATATCAATGCTCTTATAGACCGCCACCGGCAGAATTGTCAAAATTCCCAATTCCGAGTTCCAAATTTTTCTACATTTAAAAATGAGTGCACATTGACATGACAGCAAAAAAAATGGGCGTATGGAGAAGTAAATCGTTATCAGTAGATATTCTGATCACGAGGTTGGATGACTATCAAGCTTTTCGATTTCTCTAATACTCTCACGGCACTTTGAATGCGTTCAAACTTTTCTTATCATTCACACACCGACTCAATGCACTCCATCTCCCAACCTCCCCGTCCCTAATATTCGAAAAATCCAATTCAAAAACTCTAAAAACTAACAATTAGGCTAAATTAAAACCAAAACCAAACCCTTAGCTTTTTTCCTAATTTCTAAAAGTTTTTTTAGAATCCTCATGCACCCGTGCATCAGACAGCACTATACTGTATGCCTACTCCACTGATATCGATGATTTCACATTTCGAACTGCAAGCGGACGAATTGTTTTTGACAATACGAATCGTCATACAATCTATAAAACTTATGCGAATATAAGATTCGATACATTGGAAGAAGAAGAAATCCAGTATCATTCTGATTATCAGTGGGTTGATTTTTTATTAGCAAATGAATTTGGAATTTTTCAGAAGTTTCAATGCTTCCATATTTTCTCGTCCACCGAATGCCACATTAGGATATGGGAACAGTGATAAAGGAAGTGATGTTTACAGAGTGTTAAGGGTGAGTGGATGGATAATTATTTGGGCTTGCTCCAGTTAAGAAGTCCCAAAAAATTGAGGGGACCCAACCGGACCCACAGTTTGGGTATCCTTTGAATCCCTTGGACCCCCTAAACTGGAATAAATCCCAATACTTCTAATTTTGTGCCCTCTTTCTTCCAGAGTTTTCTGGACAACCAGAAGAAGGTCCCTCTTTGTGGAGCGTTTGTAGCTATAATTGTGAAAAGATACCCAGATGAGCGGGCAGTACATATTTCCGATATAATTTCCCAACTTCGCGACAATCACATTTTCGTCTACATCGTGGTTCATGATCGGAAATCCGGAGGATACAATGCTGATACACTATTCGACGTTGCTTACAAAACCAATGGGTATTGCATTTTTGACAGTGGAAACAACTTTTGGGTGGTCAGTTTTCTCTGTTTTCTTTCTGATGTTAACTTATTCAGAGTGCGATCAATATTCTGGAACCTAACAGTTGCATCTATCAATTCCACTCTAAAAATTTTGTGGTTTCTGGTTCTGGAAGAATTGACGTCGGCGTTTTCCAGGCTCCATTTCCTTCTGGTTATAGTTACCAGCTTCTGGTTGTGCACACTCTTCAAAACCACTGTATGATGTTTTAAGCACACAGCTTTCAAATGTTGAGAATTTTCAGCTCTCAAATATGCTCATCTCAATTACACAATCGTTAGCTTAGATGAAAGTTTTGTATTCACCGGACCAGATCAAGGGAGTGGAGTGAGAAATTCATTTTAAAACCCTAATTAAAAAGTTATTTCTTTTAGTGGCCACAATTTGGAACTGGTATCATCGCGTATCCCAGATTGAACGGAAGTGTTGAATACAAATGGACCATTGACTACAACTATTATAGCACGGAGGAAAACAACCGCAAGTGATTGAGACGAGAATGTACAGCAGCATGTTAGTTTAGTTGATACTTATTTGTCTTAAAACACCAATTTTCAGTTATCACGACTTTCTCCCGCTGCCAGATAATTGAATCAATTTTCGTTAAAAATTTTAATCATGCAATAAATATTTTAAAGCATCTCTAACTTTCCAAAAAAACTCCAAAATGTTATTGATACTGTAAATCCTTCCACATTTCTTGTTGAGCTCAAATATCTGAATTTCAAAAATTTGTCAACTAATAACAGAGTCTGAAAATTGGAAATCTAAAAGTTTTTCAGAGATTCAGAGGTTCAGAGATTCTGAGGATCTGTGATTCCGAGATTCTGAGATTCTAAGATTTCGAGATTCCTTGATTCCTTGATTCCTTGATTCCTTGATTCCTTGATTCCTTGATTCCTTGATTCCTTGATTCCTTGATTCCTTGATTCCTTGATTCCTTGATTCCTTAATTCATCGATTCCTTGATTCCGAGATTCCAAGATTCCGAGATTCTGAGATTCTGAGATTCTGAGATTCTGAGATTCTGAGATTCTGAGATTCTGAGATTCTGAGATTCTGAGATTCTGAGATTCTGAGATTCTGAGATTCTGAGATTCTGAGATTCTGAGATTCTGAGATTCTGAGATTCTGAGATTCTGAGATTCTGAGATTCTGAGATTCTGAGATTCTGAGATTCTGAGATTCTGAGATTCTGAGATTCTGAGATTCTGAGATTCTGAGATTCTGAGATTCTGAGATTCTGAGATTCTGAGATTCTGAGATTCTGAGATTCTGAGATTCTGAGATTCTGAGATTCTGAGATTCTGAGATTCTGAGATTCTGAGATTCTGAGATTCTGAGATTCTGAGATTCTGAGATTCTGAGATTCTGAGATTCTGAGATTCTGAGATTCTGAGATTCTGAGATTCTGAGATTCTGAGATTCTGAGATTCTGAGATTCTGAGATTCTGAGATTCTGAGATTCTGAGATTCTGAGATTCTGAGATTCTGAGATTCTGAGATTCTGAGATTCTGAGATTCTGAGATTCTGAGATTCTGAGATTCTGAGATTCTGAGATTCTGAGATTCAGGGACTTCGAGATTCAGAGATTCAGAGGTTCTGAGATTCTGAGGTTCTGAGATTCTGAGATTCTGAGATTCTGGGATTCTGGGATTCGGGGATTCAGGGATTCTGAGATTCTGAGATTGATTCTGAGATTCTGAGATTCTGAGGATCTGTGATTCCGAGATTCTGAGATTCTAAGATTCTGAGATTCTGAGATTCTGAGATTCTGAGATTCAGGGACTTCGAGATTCAGAGATTCAGAGGTTCTGAGATTCTGAGGTTCTGAGATTCTGAGGTTCTGAGATTCTGAGGTTCTGAGATTCTGAGATTCTGAGATTCTGGGATTCTGGGATTCGGGGATTCAGGGATTCTGAGATTCTGAGATTCTGAGATTCTGAGATTCTGAGGATCTGTGATTCCGAGATTCTGAGATTCTAAGATTCTGAGATTCTGAGATTCTGAGATTCTGAGATTCAGGGACTTCGAGATTCAGAGATTCAGAGGTTCTGAGATTCTGAGGTTCTGAGATTCTGAGATTCTGAGATTCTGGGATTCTGGGATTCGGGGATTCAGGGATTCTGAGATTCTGAGATTCTGAGATTCTGAGATCCTGAGATTCTGAGATTCTGAGATTACGGGGTACTGAATTCATCAGATTTTCAGATTATGGTGCATGAATTTATTAAGAAAATCAATAACAAAAAAAAATCAAGCAAAACGAACCAAAACGAACAAAATAGTCACAAATGTAAAAACTCCTCGAGCGGATTTAACAACTTCATAATCTAGATAAAATCCAGCACTTGGAACATTCGAATAGAATTGAACATCCATATGCTCACCAATTGCGTAGTATGTTTTGTTGATTATTGGAAGGTTATCGGCGGTGTATCTAAACATAAAATACATCACCTAGATTCAGAAATAACCTTACGTCTGATTGAAAGTGATACCATATGGATTTCCAAAAATCATAATTTCCATAGTTGTCGAGTTGGTGATGTCCGCTGATCGAATGGTAAACGAAAATGCGGAATATTTCGGAGCTTCTATACGACTGTCAGCCCATTGGGTTCTTGGTTTTTCAGTGTAATGATTTGAAGTGATGAATCCTTTGCTTCCGATGGGGTGTTGGATCAAATCACTGGCTGTCCAGGAAAAAACTATAGAGGCTTTTGTATTGTTCCCATTGAGCACATAAGTTCTGCTGTATCCTTTGAAAGCTTGAGGGAGGAGAAGATCGGTTTGGCCGGCTCTAAAACAAAAGTTGTTCTTTAGTTTTGGCTATAGGAGGGTTGAACCGGCGGGTAGCAACACAGGATTTGAAAAGAACTCACTTGTACGAAGCAATCAAATTCTTTTTATCTGCTCTGATTCCTCCAATGTACACATCCAATGTCCCATTACCCGTAATACTCTTTACTGTCTCAGAATAATGATCTTCTAGGAAATAGGTCATCATTGCTGATGGATAACTCGTCGTCTCCAAAACCCCTTGACATTCTGTATTTTTTTCATAACTACATGTGACTCCTTGAAACCCTAAAACTGGATCAGTGTTCTCGACTTCTTGGAGCAAAATGTTCGCATCACTGCAGTCTAGTGGTGACAGGAACATGACAGTCAAAAAGTTTCCTTCTGAATTCAGAAGACGTCCTTTTTCAAACGCTTGCTTCGCGTTTCCAATATAGGTGCGATTCCAGTTGAGACCATCGAAGAAGACGACTCCACGCAGTTGATAGACATTGGAGACGGAAAATGGTGGGATTATAAGAGCTGAGACTCTAGATTGAGCCTGAACCAGATATGGAAAAGAGTTATTGCAAAGAGCAATGGCTGGAGGAGTGGTGTCCGAGACTTGAAGTGTCAAATTGGTTGGGGAAAATACGTAAGGGACTGTAAAATACAAGTTTTCCTTAGGATGTGCCTTGTAGCTAAACTTACAGGCACTCCAACTCATGTCCAGTACAAAACTGACATTGCTCATCCCAGTGTTCAGTTTGACACTGCCACCAGTTCCCAAAAAGTAGAAGGGCTCGTTGGAAGCAGAAAATACACTGAAACATGATGTAACTCTGAATAGTTTAAAAACTTTTGACCTACTTCTCAGATCTGCCCAAGGAATCGGTAACGATCACCGGAGCAGTTGCAGATCCAGTTGAGTTAGAAGTGTTCAGAATGATATTGAGTGTTGCCCACATCCCCGGGGGTACATTTACCTGAATATAGTCTAAATTGAAAATTTTTCGAAATTTTCGACCTACCTTAATATTGCACTGATAGTTATTCGGGAACAATGTTGGAGCACCTTTATTCGAGTTATCCGGATAGATTATGTGTAAATCGTCTTGGAAAGGCGGTGGATTGAATTCCAGGTTTCCATTTGTGCATGGTGCTGAAAATTATAGATTTAAAAAAAACAAAAATTCACAATCTTACGATCAATAGGAATATCACATAACGCTACAGAAATCAAGAGAAGATGAACCAAAACCTTCATCACTCCGCTGCTGAATCATCGTCGAAAGTTCTCTATTTATGTTGAAGTTTGTGCTGATAAATTTCAACTGATAAGAAAAACGTCATAACTCGGTGCTCCGGAGACCGAAAGAACAATAGTGGTGCTTCTTGTTCAATTTGGGAGTCATAAAGTAAAACGGAGATGACAATACAGTCTTTTTGAGTCTGAAATAGGTTAAGTTCGGTGGGCGGAATTGTACCTGATCTTTGTTAAAAATTTTTGGTCAATTAGAAGTTTTAACGTGACTTTTTAGCGTTTCAAACTTCCTAATTTTCTCAGCATGAATTTCTTAGGTCATCAAAGTTGAAGACCTAGAAACGACCTAGAGTTCACCCGATGTGTTTCCTAGTTCATTTACCATGGTGGCCTAATTTTCTCAACACAAATTTGAGTACATCAAAGTTTATAGTCTAGAAATTTGCTGTCATTCTCCTGGTATTTATTCTAGGACATTTAGTCACCTAATCTTTTGGTGGTGGAATTTTCGCAAGTTGGTTTTCCTAGACCACCATCTGTTTGGCCTAGAAACTCGGGCGTCGCCGGTAACTTCTGGCCGGAGTTTGGTCGCCTTCTGGACGGTAGTTGGTCAGATTTCGGCAAAGACATTATCGGAAGCCGACCAAACTCCGACAAACAACCGGCAAACTTCCGACCTCGTATCAGCAGGGGCCAGTTCGGTTCGCACTTTTTCTTATTTTTTAATAGCAAAACAGCACTCAATATCAAATTTCTTTTATTAAAAAATAAAATTATACATATAAACGGCTAAAATCAGATATCAAAAAATACAGGAAAATGAAAAGAAAAATCGAAAATTAGATTATTGAAATTTCGAAAAAAATTTTTTTGGCGAATCCGAAAGAAGTTTGTCGTGGCGCAGCCTGAAATCAGAATAAAATAAAATATGAACTCAGAAAATAGGAATGTACCTGATTAGCTTTTGGGTTTTTCTTCCAGTTTTTCTGGAATCCCGACGTCTGTTATTTTTTGATTACCGGAAGTAAAACTTTAAAAAATCCGGTTTTTTCGATAGAAATTTACTTTTCCTTTGCGATGGCCTCCCAGCATTTGGCAAATGGGAATTGAAAAGAGCTGTACTTTTCTGAAAACTTCATTTCTGTGAAAAAAAAAATCAGAGAGAAAATTACCTGATTGTTCTTGGACTTTTCTCTTTAAAAAATCATTTCCTATTGTCTCCGACGTATTTGTCGAAAAAATACTTTTAAAATTAGAATGGCAGTTCAAAAACAAAAAGTTTTTAAGGAAAGGTTAATTCCAGCAGTTTGAAGCGCCGGAGGCGCGGCGAACAGGGTGGTATAAAATAAGCGAAGCACGCGCCTTCAAATCCCGGCCAAGATCTGACCAACTTCCGACCATCCACTTGGTAGCTTTTGGTCGGCTACCAGTGGGCAGCTTCTGACCAAAAGCTTTCCAACATCCGTCCAAAAGCCGAACCACCTCAATTTCCGGCCATAAGTTGCGAGCCGACCACCGAGAAGGTTTACTAGGTCAATTGAATATCGAGGCCTAACTTTTGCAAGTTAGGTTTTCAGCAACTATAAAATCGATGTTTTTCCAAGACCATTGTCTCCCTCTTGATCTGTAAGCAATATGTGCTCACACACTAGCTGGAAACTTGATATCTATTGACTCATATCTTGAGGACAGATTCCTAACTTCGAAGAATATCGGAACGGGAAGCTGTGTTTCTAGGAGTCTAGCCTTAGATAACACCACTGGAATTTGGGCGTCCGGAGATTGTGAAGCTGAGAATTTCTCGCTTTGTAAATAACCAGTTAGCTAGGAATATTTATTTTTTCAAAAATGTTTAGTTTTGAGCCAGTCCAAAAAACCATCTTCTTAACACAACTCCATTTTCCCTTTTATCAACCCGTTTGAAATGACGAAATTTATTTACGAAAAGTCCGTTTCGCGGCAAAGTCTTTGACCGCGGAAAACTCGCTATAAAATGAGGCACACTTCCGCTGATAATCATTTTTTCCTAAATGATTCTTTTGCTAACTCTCCTCATTTTCTGCTCAGCATCAGTTGCCGACCCAATATGTGCTCCAGGTTATACGTTAGTGAACAATAACTGTTGGAGGTTATTTCCCGAAGCTACCGAACCAGATGCTGATGAGCTATGTCGGACAAGACAAATGGGGGCGGAATATTGGCGGCTCCGAAGAATGCGATTGTAAGTTTTGAAGGTGTTAATCTGGACGGGTTTAGGGGGCTGGGTTGCTCAGTTATTTCTAACCTGCCAAAAATCCTGCAAATTCAATTATTGCATTTTCAGGACAACCGTGGTCTATTGGCCATTCTAAACGGTACCAATATCGATCGCGTCTGGCTCGGCATGTCCTGCACCGGTCTCTCCCCATCCACATGTCAATGGGCAGACAAGACAAGTGTAACCTACAGTAGCTTCTCGAGTGGTAAGCGTTCCCCATAAAAATTCTCCCTGTATTCCAATTTCCAGGATTCCCAAACCATCGATTTGGTGAATGTGTCTACTACTCTGCCGACGGTTATCCTGCCGGTCAATGGGCCAGTGGAGAATGCGATGACACCCTTCCCTTCATCTGTGAACTTCCTACTACTACCCAAAATACAAATGCGGACTGTCCGGTGAATTACAACAATCACTGTTACTCCAGAACCGATGACCCATTGTCTTTCTCTTGGGCTCAAGCGGATTGTGCTCACACCCCAGCCGGAAACTTGGTTTCTATTCACTCCTATCTTGAGAACAGATTCATAACTTCTTTGTATAACGAAACAACAAATGTATGGATTGGAGCACTTGCTCCTGGATCTGCTTTGATTGTTTGGACTGATGGAACGCTAAACGATTACTATAATTTGAAGAATATCGGAACTGGAAGTTGTGTTTCAATGAGTCTAGCGTTGGATAACACCACTGGAATTTGGGCGTCCGGAGATTGTGAAGCTGAGAATTTCTCACTTTGTAAATATCCAGTTAGCTAGGCATTTTTAAAAAGATTTCGAATGTTTTAGTTAGTTTAATATACCATCTTCGTTTTTATAATACTTTATCAAAAAATAAATTTTTATTTTCAAAGTTTTATTTTCAAATAGCTCCTTTTGGAACGGAAAACGAAGGCAGCCGAGTAAATTCAGAACTTTTCAAACAAAATGAAAAACGAAGCACGTCTTCTGAATTTGGTATTCTGTAGTACCATTTTTTTCCGTAACGTCCACCGTCCACATTTGGTGGTCCAAAGATTTCGAGAAGTTTCCGGACTTCATGAATGTCTCTTCTCAATTCGGAGATGCCTTCTTCTACGAAATGTTTGTAGTGAACAATAAATTTTTGGAATTTCGGGGTGATCAAGAAAATCTGAAAAATTAATTTTTGAATTTTAAACATTTTTTAAACTCACCTCTTTCATAAGAAACAATTCATCCTGTGTGACTTGAAAAACCGTAATCACAGCTTTGGAAAAATGCCCAAGATCCGTTACTGATCCTGAGATAACCAGATTTTCAGCATAAAACTCTTCCACGGATTCCCAGCATTTTAAACCTTTCCATTCTTGAATTGACACTTCTCCTGGCTTCACAAAATACAGTTCAGCTATTTTAAGAACGCCTGGTGATACAGAGCGTAAAATTTCAAAGATTTGAGTCTTATCTGCTGTCACTCGAAGATATTCCATTTTCATTGGGTTATTTTTCAGAATTTCCAAAATTTCAGATCCCTGACTTGTTAAATTGAGACCGAAAAACTTCAAAATGGATTTTTGATGCTTAAAAATCCAATTCATATCTTCGCGAAAGACTTGAAAATGATCCGAATTCTTCATTAAACTCTTCCGGTTCCCATAGATTTCTTGGCATCCGCTCTTGTGTTTTCGATACGATATATGATGGTGCTGTCCAAATTGTCCAATAAAATATACAGAAATTTTCGGATTATTTTGTTTCGAGGGTACTGTAGAAATTTCCATAGAGCGAATTTGCAGATCCGGTTCGGTGTCCTCAATAAAATTTCGGAGGTCTTTACACACTTTTCGGAGGACCAGACTGAAAAGAAATTTTGTAAAAAATGAGACGAGTTAAAAAAAAACCATACATGGATCGAAAATCGGATTTTGATAATATAAGATTCATAGCCAAATCTGGCATTTCGAGTATAGACGGCATTCGCTTTTTTTTGAAGAAAATCAATAAAATTTTTGCGAAAGGAAATTTGAGTGTGTGTACTTTGTCTCTGCGTCTCTCACAACCCAAAATGCCATGATTTATATGTACATTTATAGTTTGATAAGTTAATACAATCATTTTTCGATATATGAAAATTGTAGGGAATGCGGGGACAAATTTATACAAAGGACTTGAGTTTTATCATTTGGAACTTCGAATATCCATTGATATCTGGAAGCTTCGAATTGTAATGGAGGACCAACTGTAGCTAGAAGTTGCTCCTGGTTTTCAAAATTCTGGAAATTGACGATGAATTCTTTTGGAGCCTGGAGAAACGTCTGTAAATTTTTTAAATTCATAATTTCCTAAGGAAAAAAATCAAAACCAACCTCTCTCAAAAATATCACATCATCTGCACTGATGGTCCATATATCGAACTTTCCTCTCTTCAAATGACAAAAATCTCGAATATTCTCTTCTAGAAACCAATTCACAATTTCTACCTCTTCCAGATTTTGCCATTGATGCAACTTCATAAATTCCCGAATCTCCAGTTTTTCCTCCTCTTCTCCGATATTAACCAGTGATAATTTCTTCAAGACCATAGGATGCAAGAATGGTAGAATTTGCAAATAATGCTCCAATTTTTCAGAGTGCATATGAAAAGTTTCCACTTCTAGGAACCCCGATCTCGATCGCAAAATTTCGTTTAACTTTTTAACAGCTTCATTGTGAACGGGATAAGTCACCATTCGATTGAAATAGTTGTGCTCCAAAATGAACCCGAATTCGGAAATTGGTGATTCATTAGAGTCTAGGATAGTGTTGAGTGCTTGAAATGCTTTTGAAATGAAATCTATTCCTTTGACCGTTCTTTTTTCGTCTTCAGTCTTCACAATACACCCACTCGGATGCTTTTTGAACCTCAAAACTGACAGTTTGGAATCAGAGAACAGCTGTCGGAGGACAACACCAGAATCATCTACTTCTATAACGATCCCTTGGAGTTTTCTAGAAAAAAACGTGTCACTTTTTTTTCAAATTTTAAAACCGCCTACCTATCCGTCTCAATAAAATTATCCATTGCATGATTGAACTGATTGCAAAGGACATTTACAGAGAACATTGGGAAGTGTGAAAACGAAACAATGAGGAGAGAACATTAACTGGAATTCGCTGATAAGGAACTATCAGCGAACTGATAATCAGGTGATTTTTTGTTCTAATGGAATAATGCACGTTTCACAATTCAAGTTTGTTCGCTACATGATGTACGATCAAGGCTGTGCAGAGTGGCGGCCGGCCGCGACCACGATCAGCCGCGGAAGCCTAGTCAAAGCCGGCCGCGTCCGGCCGTGGCACATCATTGTGTACTCTGAACACAAGGCAAGGTAATGAATGTTTCCTTGAAGTTTTAAATAATAAACTATCGCACGGTATTTCAAACAAACGGGTCGAAAATCGCGCCCCAGAAAACTTTTAGGACAGGCGAAATTTAATAATTTAAAAGTTGACGTGGAGTTGACCTATATATTTTTAACTAACGCATTGCAACTCGCGTATTTTTCGCCCAACGTTTAAAAGTTTGATCCTCAGCCAACGAAAATTTGACATGTCGGTCAGTGATTTTTCACGTTCGCTAGGGCGCGTTTTCCGACCAGGCTGTTTGAAATAGCGTGCTCGGTTTTCACAGATACCGTAAAATCTTTATTAATATTGCGCCTCTATTTGAATTGCTCCTCTAATAGACTTGCACCCCTTGAGGGCACTTGAAAAATAGACTTGCAGCCTTTAATTGAATTGCCCCCGTAATACAATTGCATCTGCAGCAGTATTGCGCCTCTGTCGGGAGTACTGTACAATTTTTAGTCTGTGACACCGTGACGAACTATTGCACAGTTGTTTTTCGAAGGATTTCACAGGATGCGGATTAAAAAATGGAAAAACGGCGAAGATGATGAGGCAATTCATTGTTTCAAGAAAGATGGAGAAATTCCAGAAGGCGTACATTGAAGGCAAAACGAGCAGAACGAAAAATGGAAGAAATTTAGGAGGTTTTGGGAGATATTGAAATTGAGAAAAACGATGGAGAAGTGAACCATGCCGAAGAAGAAGACAATATGACTATGACAGTGACGCCTCGATTTTTTGATTTTTCAAAATATGCGATACTTTTCTTTTTGTTTTGTTCAATTTGTTACTTTTTTGTTGATTTTCATAATAAAACTGTTTTTTTTTTCAAAATTTTAACCTCAAATTGTAGTTTGAAAAATAGAATCGCAGCCTCTATTTGAATTGCCCCTCTAATAGAGTTGCACCCCTTGAGGTGACTTGAACAATAGACTTGCATGCAATATTAATACAGATTTTACGGTAACTTGAAGACTCGGCTTTTCAAATTATCGAAAAAAATAACTTGTTTTTTAAGTCCTTCTATTTCTGAAGGGCAACAACCTCACACTATCAGCTTGGTCCCAATTTATCTCGGTTACTAGTGAAGATATCAAAATGGGGTCATTTGATAAAATGTTAATCATAATATCAGTAACATTTTATTAGTTGACCATTTTTTGATATCTTTGATATGGACCGAGATAAATTGGCTCAGCGCTGACGGCCTGGGGAGTGTATACACCATCGGTTGGCCGTGTAGCTCAGCTGGTAACGACGCGTCACCTCCAAAATTGTGCTTACAAGTTCCACTCCTCGAGGGGTTTTGACGAATGAAAATTCGAGGAAAATATTTTTAAATTTCCCCCAGCCTTCAAGGTATTTTTAAGGACCGGCAAGGCAAAACACTTTATTGTCTGAACACATTATCTCAAAATCAAAAATTAAAATAATTCTTTCGAAATCCTTTTAACGGAAAAATACCAATTGTCCATCGATCCAAAAAGTGCAAATTGTACTGTATCATCTCCAATTTCACAGAGCCACTTATCCAACCGTCCACCATAAACACTACGGCCAACTTGTGATTTTCCGAGAATTCTCTCATATTGAGGTTTGTTAACACATTCTGCATGAATGTGGAACTTGATCATGGAAGGATATTGAGTGAACATCTAAAGAATTATTGATTTTTTTAGTTTGAGAGATATTATGCGAACAAATATACCTCTTTTAAAAGAGCAACATCCTCTCCTGACACAAAAATTCGGCAAATTGAAACTCTCGCCATACCGGAAAAATAATGAAGTGGTAAATCAGTGACCAAATTGCTCATTTCAACCTGCTTCAAGTTTTTCCAATGCTCCAATCTTACAATTTCATTCATTTCCATTTTCACACTTCTTGCACAGGACATTTCGATACTTTCCAAAAGTTTTGAATCAATATTTGAAACTAGAGTCACCACTTCTTTTTGGTTATCTGTACCCATATTTAAACGTTTTATTGGAACAGGGTGGTCCCATGTTTTTAAACTTTGGTCCAGTTTTTGCAAGAAGTCATTTTCCATTGTTTCCTTGAAGATGAAGTAAAAATGAGGAATCGGCAATTTTTGATTTTTGAGCACTATTTTAATATCTTCGAGGAAAAGTTCCCAAAAATTCGAATTCTCCACTAGCATCTCTTTTTGGTTATATCTGTATTTTCCAATAATGTAACAGCCATTGTTTCGTTTCGCATAAGTCACATTTATAAGTTGAATGGCATTGAAAGATTGACACTTTCCAAGTTTACTGTAACACTGACATGATCTATATTCGATTCCGGTTTGTGCTCTTCGATGAAATTTCTGAGGTCCACACAAACTTTTCGGAGGACCAAGCTGAAATGATTGAAATTTTGGAACCAACTTTCGACAACAATTTCAAAAATTCTTTCGAAAAACTTTCGTAATTTCGGTAGAACGTTCGAACCATTTCCTTTGTTAGCCTAGAAAACTCAACTTGCGAAAGTTAGGCCACCGTGATGAATGTCCTAGAAAATACACCACGAAAATATCAGGTCATTTCTGAGTCAAAAAAGTTTGTGGCCTAGAAAACTCAACATGCAAAAGTTAGGCCACCATGTGGGAATAGCCTAGAAAACTCATATGGTGAATATCAGGTCATTTCTAGGTCATTTAACGTGATGACCTAGAAAACCTCACTCGGGAAAGTTAGGCCTCGACGGCAGAAAACACACCCGGTTAATTTTAGGCCGTTCCTAGGCCATTTGCCATGGAGGCCTAGAAAAATCAAGTTGAGAAAGTTAGACCTCACATGAAACCGGAGTGTATGATTTTTGACATTGATCGAAAAAAAAAACTTCGAAAGATTTGAACATTTTTTTAACTTACGAAACTTTGAAAGAGATTTTCCAAAAGAAAAAGATTACATTGTATACAAATCCACTTTTTTGAAAATCGTGCTGAGCACAACATCTGGCATCTGTAGTAACGATGGAGGCATTGTTCTATAAGTAAAAAGAAATTGTTAGTTTAAAAATTTTTATAAAAATAAAAAGAAAAAAGTGATTGATAAGAGAGTGATGATTTCATGCACTGCAGTGTAAACTTGACACACCTTTTGCGGGCAAATAAATATTGATCTGAATTTCACAAAAAAAATTGTGACATATTTTTCCAAAGATGTCTTCCCAATTCCACGCTTTAAACTTAATCGACCAGGTTTTAGACAGTTTTTGGGGATTCGAAAACCATCAGTCTATGTAAGTCAGCAAATTTGCTCCATCGAATTTTCATATTTTTTTAGATACTCTGAAATTTCCATGGTTTACATTGAAGTGACTTCCAGAGAAGTTTGTCAAAAATTCATCTGTGGAAATGTCAATTTGTCGATTTCATATTTTCCCAAGGGTACTGGAACACTTATAAAATGCTTTTCAGATGAGAAAACTCTAGAAAATCAAGACTTCCTGACTATAGCATTTCAAGATTTGAAATTCATTTTTGCTATTCAAAGACAGCCAATTCCAAATTTCGACCTCCGATTCGATGAATCTGATTTATCTGATTTTGTGGAAAATTCGCTGGATATTCTGATTAAAAACTTGGAATCCACGATTCTGAAAGTCAAACATTTTCTGATGGATCTGGACAATCAGGGTGATGCTCTCAAGATTTTACTGTTTATTGATATGAACTTTATTGAAAATGTCACATTGATCAATCGGATAAAATCTGATGATAAGAAAGTTTTGAAAATTGATGAAATTGAAAAATCGGAACTATGGAGACGAGCAAAGAATGTGGATGTGATAGGATTTCGTTAATTATGAATTAAAGTGGTTGGGTTTTATGTTTTTAATTTATCTATTGCATCAATATCGATTTTATCGTGTGAATCGTTTTTAAAGGTGGGGGGACAGGAGATTTTTCGTAGTTTTTTTGTAGCTAGAGTATGCATTCTACCGTCACGGTGTACAATGCTTAATGTCACTCTGCGTACAGCTGTCGTCCTCGCCTTTATGTATGCAAACGGGCGTGCGCTTTCTCTTTGCCCGCGTAGCTCAGTCGGTAGCGGCGCCGCACCCTCAATCATCGCCCTCACAAGTTCAACTCCTCGAGGGGCATCTTTGAACGGAATTTCGAGAACATTATTTTTTTCATGTCCCCCCACCTTTAAGATAATTTTAGGTACCATTTTGGAAAAATGAATGAATGTTTTGAAATAAAAAATTCTGAACCAACTTATTATATATAATTCACATCATTTGCACTGATCCTACAAATGTACAGTACCGGGCAATAAGATATACATTTATCAGTTGATTTTTATCATTTTCAGGAGTATGGGGATTGGCTATCAAGTTTCCGATCACTTTCAGATATCGGCAAATAGCTGAAAAACTAGAAAATTTCAAAAAATTCTGTGAATGCAAAGTTTTCAATCTAGGTATGTTGTACGTCCTCAGAAGTTTTCTAAGCGTTTGAAAACTTGACCGCCAAGCTCCAGACTCCTGAAAATCGTCAAAATGAAATTTATATTTCAGAGTTCTCCCGGCTTCACAATTTCCACCTCTTCCAGTTTCTCCCATTGACGCAACTTCGTAATTTTCTGAAACTCCAATCTCTTCTTTTTCAATGTTCATTAGTGGCAATTTCTTCAGGAACATCATATGCGAAAAAGTCATACTTGCAAAAATCGTTGAAGGCCCGGTCCTTTTTTTCGTTGAAGGCCCGGAATCGTTGAAGGCCCGGAAATTTTTTTTGATAATTTTTTGAGAATTTTTTAACAAAAAAAACTAGTTTTCGAGAGAAAAATCCTATTTTTCAAAAATTCAATTTTTTCTTCGATATAAGACGGTTGAAATTTGAAGAATTTTTTCGCAAGTATAGAAATAGCTCGAAATGATGATTTCCTGTACCATGTATTATTTATTTCAGTTTCACCAGATTTCTGAATTTTCTGTACAAAAATTATAAATATTCCAGAAATTAGTAAAAGTTATAGAAAATGTTTATTTGATGAACCTGAAAATGATATTGAACAAAAAAATAGGTGGACAAATTAAAATTGGACAGTGTAGACAGTTGGGACAGTGTGGATAGTGTAGTTGTAGTTTGCTCAAATCCAGGTGACAACCAATCTTCCTGCACTTTAAACTCCTTGTTGCTCTGTGCCTTCTTTTCTTCTACAGGTACATAATCGGTTCGCCTCCCGATTTTGCACTTTTTCAAAGGAAAAAGAGGTCACGCCAAAATCAAGTGTTATTGGAATTGTGCCATGAGAGGGAACAAAATCGATAGGCAAACCGATTCTGTGTCTAGTGAAACAATTCAAATTTTTTCTGATTTCACGTGTCTTTTTGTGGAGTTTGAAACATTTCTCATGAAATCCGATTTTGAACCAATTTTTTGATCGACACTAACTTCTACAAATTTTCCGGGTGAGAATAAATTCGGGTATTCTTCAAACTGATATAAATTCTTGGTTTTGATGGTTTTATTGTTTCGAAAAAAATCAATAATTTGACAGAATAACTGTAGACGCTTTGATGGTTCTTACTGTTAACGCCGGATTGAATGTTCTATAGAATCATAGTCTCAAAACATCAAAATTTTCAGTTATCACAAATTATTGATTTTGATGGTTTTATTCCTGAAACTGATATAAATAAACTTTCGAAACAATAAAACCATCAAAACCAAGAATTTATATCAGTTTGAAAAATACCCGAATTTATTCTCACCCGGAAAAGCGTATTGTAGAAGTTGATGTCGATCAAAAAATTGGTTCAAAATCGCATCTCATGAGAAACGTTTCAAAATCCACAAAAAGACACGTGAAATAAAAGAAAAGTGAAATTTTTTCACTAGGTACAGAATCGGTTTGCCTACCGATTTTGTTCCCTCTCATGGCACAATTCAAATAATACTTGAATTTGGCGTGACCACTTTTTCCTTTAAAAAAGTAGAAAATCGGGAGGCGAACCGATTATGTACCTGTAGAAGAAAAGAATGCACAGAGCAGCGAAAAGTTCAAAATGCAGGAAGATTGGTTGTCACCTGGATTTGAGCAAACTACAACTACACTATCCACGCTGTCCCAAATGTCTACACTGTCCAATTTTAATTTGTCCACCTATTTTTTCGTTCAAGATCATTTTCAGATCCATCAAATAAACATTTTCTATAACTTTTACTAATTTCTGGAATGTTCATACAGAAAATTTCTGAATTCAAAAAAGGCAAGACAACACTGGACGAAACCTGTCGAAGAGACAAACTTTTCGAAAAACTTTTGTTTTTTCTATTAACTCTGTTCTTTTTGTACATAAAATATGAAAAACTCCGAATTTCAAAAATGAGAAAAAAATTCTTCAAATTTCAACCGTCTTATATCAACTTTGGAAAAACTCAGGAAAATTTTTTTTTTTTTCAAAAATTTGTTCAAACATTTACAAATTCAATATTTACAATTTAGCTTAATATTAGATGATATAAACAACTTTTTCCCAAAAAAAAATACACATTTTTTGCCCAAAAATCGAAGCTGGCGCCAACTGGCCGGGCCTTCCGGGCCTCCCGAGCCGGGCCTTCCGGACCTCCCGGGCCGGGCCTTCCGGGCCTTCCAGGCAGGGCCTTGACCAATTTCTTGAAGGTCCGGCCCGGCCCGTTGCAAATATGGAAAAAGGGGTGTTATTAATACCCTAAATTGCCACTTTGGAATCAGCAAAACATTAATTTGATCTTTGAAATCGAACCTTATCACCTTATCAGTAGACTCATTAACACAAATAGCAACAACAAAAACATCCTGTTATTTTGAAACTATTTGATATGAGCCACTATAAAAGATGAAGCTCTGAGCCCTTAATTATATATTTTCCTAATGAAGCTATTTTTCGTTTACTTCGCTGCTCTCCTGGTTGCTATCAACTCGTTTGTGATTGTACATCGCGGACATCCTCATGGTAAGTGGCTAAGAAAAACACAATTTTAGACATTTTTTATATTTTTCAGCTAAGTACAACTGACACACCACTGGAAGGCATCGTGTATGGAAAAGATGGAGGATGTCAGTCCAATTG